TGTGTGTGTGTGTGTGTGTGTGTGTGTGTGAGTGTCAGTGTATTTTACTGAGAAACGTCGATTAAAGGTAGAAAAGGTAATTACATCTGCAATTTTCAAAGTCACTCAGCCTTTTGAAGACACCAATATTTGTCGACAGTTTACTAGCTAATTTTACTTCTGACCCCAAGAGACCCACACCTCCTTCATTCGCAAAAATTTCGACCTCTAGTTTAGATAGATTGATTTTTTTTCATCATAAGCAAGGCAAATAAGCAGGTTTTAAGATAATACCAATAACTTCATACGCCCAACAATTGACAAGCCCCTGATTCTATCATGCCGTGACACATTAATTTTATTTGGACGTGAGGGAGTGAGTGGGTCACCCAACAAGAATAAAAAACATACAGTTTCTAATGACACAACGGGTACTTTGCAAAGATGTTCATACATGTAATTAATTTAGAAAAACTGATGATTTGTTTATCGTGCCCCACACCTCCTATCCGCCTCCTAACGTATTATATAATATTATAAATGTAGGCACTGACTTATTAAATCTAGATCTATACCACTTATTTCACTCGCAGCTGGAAATACAAATATCAGCGTCTTAAGGACGACGAAAAAAAGCGGAAAAAGTGACAACGATTACTTACCAACAAGAACAGCAAGACAATAACACGGACCATATTACTGTACTACAGGAACGACAACAAGCATCAACGACAACAGCAATAACACCACCACCAACAGCAGAGGCAGCAACAACACCAACAACAAAGTTACAGCAGTACTGACAAAAATGTTGACAAACAAATTAGGGCTACTTCATGAACATTACTTCTTAAGTCATTTCTTGCTGTTGACAACTGCGATCTTGCTGCACGGCCAAACCGCCTCCGGTCAGAGCTACAACGATACTCATGCGCTACTGGGAAATCTGTTCTCCGACTATGACGTAGACACGAGGCCGTTGTTAGATCAGAGTCAAGCCGTAGCGGTCAACTTCACCCATATGTTGAGTTCCACAATAGAGGTGGACGTGCCTAATCAGGTGAGTGTTTCGCTGTTTGTCTATTCGTTTGTCTAATTTGTCTAGCATCTGTGTTTGTTGCCATTTTTTGTCCCAAAACTGCCAAAAGTTGCCTTTAAAATGGTAAAATTTGCCATAAACGTTGCCAATAATTTTCGAGCTTTCAACTCTCTGTGACGACGTAGGCCTATATATACATTGTGTAGTAATAAGTTGATAGAGGTAACTTAATTTAAAGCATCAGAATTTTTGTGTGCTCTGTTTTAAGCATCCAGAATATCATTTGTAGCCAGACAGATTGAAAAAAAAACACGTGAAAATAACGTTTCACAACAGGATAAAATCAAAATTAGAACAGCATGTCAACCTATCCGAAGATTGGCATTTTGGTTTAACTGTAAACGTGTATAATTCATTAAAAAGTAGATCAATACGATATTATGTAAATTATGGGATCACACACAAGGGACGTGCAAGTGTCAGATACGTGTACATGTGTATTCGGTTTTGGTGGAGACACGCTCTAACATAACACATTTATATTTTTTTAAAACAAAAATGGTAGGAACAACATCACGTTAAATGACATTATGCTGTGCTAAAATAAAACACAAATAATAGAAAACACATCAGAACAACAACAAGAAAAGCAATTAACACAAGCAAATTAAAACACAACAAAGAAGGAAAAATAAAAGAGAAACAGCAGTACAATCTATATATAAATAGTATGTAAGTGTAAGGGAAGGGATCGCTCACAAATGATGTCAGCTAAAATTTTGCAAAAAATGACCCCTCCCCCCATTGACATCAACCACAATATGTACCGGTACATGTACATTTAGATAAAACCTGTACAGGATGCATTTTATATGTATCTTTGATCTTTGTTTAAAGTTTTTAAAAATAAAAACTAATGTTTATTCAAGAATACAACAAAGAAATACCTGAACTGTCAAATTAAAATTTATGGTCCAATTTAACTGTGTTAATCTTAGGCCAAGGAAATGTGATCTATAATATGCTTTCTTCCTTTCTTTTCTTTTCTCTCTCCCCCCCTCCCCTCCCTAACTCTGTTGCCTTCACAAGACAAGTTTTCTACACAATAGTTTTTTAAGAAGTAGGATTAAGACTCATTTGTCCAAAATTAAATTTTTTATTTTGTTTCCTCAAGTTTTATTCTCATAATTTTACCACATGTAGGGGAAATTCATCTGAAGTTTCAGGTGTCTGTTTATCGCCTTTGACAGTTTCTGTGTCAGGGACGTTTAATAACAGTGTACAGATTGGATTTCCTCACTTTTGTAGTTGGAAGCTGTTACTCATTTTAACTGTTTTATTATTTTTCCTTTATTTTTCACAACACAAAGGTTTCGGTCATAATGCAGACCTGCTCTCAATTTCTGATGCTAATCAATTATGTATATAATGTTGTTCAGTTTGTGTTCAGTTCAGCATTTTAGATCTTAACGAAAAAACATTCTTTGACTTTAAATTTTCCAAAAGGTGACTCTTGGCTTTACGGATGATATGGACTTCAAGCGGCCAGACGACCTTGACATGCAGGTGCTTAAGAATGTGCGAAGGACTGCAGGACGATCCAAAAAGCTGGTTGGAGAACTGAAGAACCTCAAATCCAAGATTTATGGCCTTGAGAGTGACCTCAAACATTTATGATAACAAGATTTCATTGTTCATTCTTTCCACTTCTCATTTAACGTACTCAGCTGGTCAATAGGTCCATAGAAGTGTTTAGTTTGGACAGCAGCCTGGTTATTATATATAAAGGGAGATAATGGTGTAAACATGATATCACAATGAAGTGCTAGATGGCCAGGGGCAGCTGAAGCTCTACAAAAGGTGAAATCCTGAACAAAATTTATGCCTTTTTCTACTCTTTACTTTGAAGTACCTCAGACATCCTTTCTGGTGTTTGTTACTTCAATGGAGGGGGGGGGGGAATGACCATCATGCTGGAGTGTTACCTCCTATCCATAGCCCTGGCTACAACCTAGTGTGGGTATTACTTTTACTCATTGAGATGGAAATGTGTGTAATACTGTGTGTCATGGATTTATCTTGGTGTTGGTAACTTCATTTTGAAAGAATAATGCTGAACATCACTCTATGCCATTCCATTTGGCACTGGGTTGTGATGATTTTTACTGTTAGTTTGACATTTTCTTGAAAAAGATGAGTCCAGCAACTGGATTCCTTCCATGCTAAATCTAAATGTGTGCACTGTTATCAAGAAATACATCTTTTCAAGAGAAACATTCAGAATTTGACAGTGACCTGTAGTTAGTGCTTTGCATTTATTCCCTTTTTTTGCTAAGAGCTGTATACATGACTCTTTGTTTTAGTACATATGTATTATAAAGTGCTAGATCTGAGACAGACATCTGGGATCATGGTTCTCCATTCATTCCTTTGCTCAGATGCTCATAAAAAGATACATTATCCCGATCTTTCCCTGTCACTCATCTGTTTAGGCTCTCTAAGTAGGTAGATAGGTACATCAGCATAATATTAACCGTGAAATGCAGCAATGGGTACTGATGTATGAGCAAAATTAATTGTTTCAACCCAGACTTGTATGGTCTATTAAGAGGAATAAAAAATAACCAAGACTTATACTTGGTCTTCTTTATATACATATATTTATTTTTTATTGCCTTATATTTTGCCCAGTCATAATTTTATGTGGATGGCGTACTTCTAAGAAAATTCTTCCTGTACAAAAAACAATGCATATATGTGAACTTTATGTGGTTAGTAAGTAATATTTGATTATTTGTTGTTTCACGATTATGACAAATGGTCTTAACTTCGATGTAAATTTGTTACTGCACCCTGTTTTCAATCGAGACCAAATGCTGACACAGCCTAACATTTTTTAAAGTCAGATTACTGTCCACAATGAAATAAGAATATTCAGTGGTCATTGGCTTCCTAATTAAGTTTATAAGAATTCAGGGGAAGTGCCAATAAAACTGGGTTTTTTCTTACAACTTTTTATTTAGATTAAAATTTTCTGGTAAGTTTCAAAAGCTTTACATTTCTTTACCAACATCACAAATAGAAAGTTGCTAAGTTTTGACATAATGATGTGTGAGTGAATAGGAATCAGTCACCCAAAACTTGTTACTACCTACCTGTATTTTTTTTTAATTGTTTATTTTTTCAAATCTAAAAAGTAAATTAATAGTTTTTTAATTTTTTGATTAATTTTTTGTTTTGTTTGATTGTTTTTATTCTAATGGAGTCGCCTCTTTTACGCATCTAACTTTTTCAACCATTGATACTACCGCTCACCACTTGGTACACATTCCGTCCTCTTATTAATGATAATGTACAAATGTATGAAATGTATTACCATGAAGCAGCAAATACATCCTCTGTAATTATAAGCAAAAGTCTGAGTGTACTTTGAATCTGTTTGTACGAGCCTCGTCTTTAGATTTTTGTTTCAAGGCATTGTCATAATTGTATTTGTGTGGAATTGTTCTTTTATTATCCTTTAGTGTGTGCTGGGAAAAACAAGTCTCAGGATCAGACTGATTGCATTGGTTTATGGATGAGCGATACATAATAATAATGATGATAACATTAATAATACAGTCAAACCTATGTAAGACGGCCACCCATTGTCAAGGAGAAAAGTGGCCGTTTAAGACAGGTGGCCGTCTTAGGCAGGACTGATCAAGATGAAGAAAACAAACCCCATTCCCAATCGAAATTAGCCGCATTATTGTTGTTTTTGTTGTTGTTGTTGTTGTTGGTTTGTATTTTGTTTGCTATTTTTATTTTGTTGCTGATTTTGTGCAAGGGTGACAATAAAACGAAATGTGTCAGACAAGGAGGACCGAGTGCTATGGTAAAACAAACATATGGGTCGCCACCACTCGAAGAACGAGCGACGCTTCTGTCACAAGTCCATGTTGACGTCCATTGTTACTTTGTTACAGACTGGGTAAACAGTGACCACTCATCTCATTTACGATTTGTTTATGAGTTCTGGGCAGGGCTTAGGGGTTATGAGGGATCACACGCTTACCTCACCAGTAGCTGGAAATTGGTACCTATTGGTCAACAGTGGGAGGGGCCTACGCAACATGATAGGTTGGAGGGACTACCTAACAACAACGACAGGTGATTAGATTATGACGGCTCGCCCACAACGCCAGGGGTCAATGCACAATTAATGACAAAACGTAATGGAGTCACACTAAGGTGGCCGTCTAAGACAGGTGTTATTGCTTAGTGTGATAAGGGTTGTGTGTTAAAATATGGTGGCCGCGGCCGCGTAGGACAGGCGCCCGTTTTATACAGTTAAATTATATAGAAAAAACGCAAGGGGGGAAATGGAAAGTGGTCGTTTGTACAAGTGGCCGTCTTATAGAGGTGGCCGTCAGGGCAGGTTCGACTGTATTATGATAATGACAATAATAGTTTAGTCAAACCCAACTGCACTGCAAGCCTCGCTTACTGCCTGGTTTTACCAATGTACAAAAAGGAACACCAATATAAACATAAATCTTTCACCTTCACTCGGCCATCAGCCATCTGTCTGAACCCCCCAGACAATTCCCAAAAGGGGGACATTTCTTGTTCTAATGCACAGTAGAATTGTAAATGGGCTGATCCAACAATGTCATGCTCATAACTGTGCCTGAACTACAACAGGGAACTGCTGCTTTTTCTTTCCTAATCCTTACTATCGTCATTTTCCTCTACTTCTTTTGTATGTTATTGTTTGTCACACTCTTGTGACCCCCCTATTTCCGGGGTGCCTTGATAGTCGAAGCAGACTTTGTGCTGTTGAAGCTAGAGAGGTGAGCAGAGTAAGCATGATTCCCTGTAAGGACTTCTCTGTTGACATCCATCCCTCCCCCCCCCCCCCCCCCCGGGGCAGTGGCCCCTGACTGTAGTGTCTTTAGGCCATTCCCAAAGGGGGAACATTTCTCGTTCAAGCACAGTAGAATTGTAAATCATATGGGCTGATTCATGTCACGCTCAGAACTGAGCAGGACGGCCCAATTTATGAGATATACCAGACTTCAAGTGTGATGAGATCCAGAAGAAGAAGAAGATGTCACGCTCATAACTGTGCCTGATCTACAACAGGGAACTGCTGCTTTTTCTTTCTTAATCCTTACTATTGTCATTTTCCTCTACTTCTTTTGTATGTTTGTCACTCTCTTGTGACCAGCTATTTCTGAGGTGCCTTGATAGTCGAAGCAGACTTTATGCTGTTGAGGCTAGAGAGATGAGCAGAATAAATCCACCCCTTGGCGCTCATATGACCTTATGCAGTTGCGAGCGCCGTAAAATCTCTACTAAAACAAAAACAACTGTCTGAGTTACACAGTCCTTGTTTAACTAATGCAAATTTACCCCGCTATATCACCAGTGAACTGACCGCCAGAGGTACATTGTACACACTGCTCACAGCGCACAACACCCGCTGGTTGGATACTTAATAATATTTCTCCCATGAGAAAGACATAGAAATAGAGAGAGAGAAGACTGTCAGTTCTGAATACATGTGCATGTACATGTATGTCACCAAGAAAAAGACTTTTTTCAAACGCAGATTACATAGCAGAATCATGTTCCTTGACTTTGGGCAGTCAGGGCTATGCAACAGATTACTCCGTTTAACCGCCAGCCCTTCTGTTCTGCCAGCTTTATGCCCGTCCCAATTCTTGCTTTGTCCCAGCACTAAATGACCATTATTGTGGCGATGTGCTCTCCTTTACTTTTAAAAAAATGGGGGTTTTTTTTCAAGGAAGTGGCTATTCTCCGGCGTCTTAATTATTAATTGTAACCGGCAGCAACGTTGGAGTAGACGAAACAGCTGTCACATGCATGAATGCGTGTCCATGCTAAAAGCAACTGTAGTTCTCTCTCTCTCTCTCTCTCTCTCTCTCTCTCTCTCTCTCTCTCTCTCTCTGCATTTATTATACCTCGGCCGGTCATCAAAATATCTGGTGTCTGTAGACACCATCCATGGGGTCTCTCGTGGACTAGAGGTTAAGGGGTTCGCCCTCATTCAAAGGTCCCGGCTTCGAATCCTGGTAGCGAAGGAAACATTTCTTCTCTAAGATTGTCTCCTTTCACCTCCTTTCCTGCTCTCTAGCAATGTTCGGTAGTCTGCTTTCGTCTCCACTTTCTGCCCCCACCCCCTCACCTTCTTTGCCCCCTCCTCTGGGTTTCTGACCTACACATAGATTTCTCGGACAAGGGCAAAAAATCTCGTTCAAGCTGCGCACGTTAAAGATCCCTTGGTGGTCTAAAATCGATAAGAGTAGGCTTCGGCCGCCACCCGGAAAAAATTCAAAATTTCCTACCAACTGAAAATGTATTAATTATTAATGTGTTGCGCGCGCTCATATGACCTTACGCAGTTGCGAGCGCCGTAAAACGCTTACCAAAAAAAAAGACTTCAGCCCAATGACCTACAGGTTGGCAGGCGCCCGTGACAGTGTGACACAAGCGAGGACTCTCACTGACGTCTGCGTGAAAGGTTAAAGGTGGTTATAAGTATTGAGTAAAAAAAAAAAAAAAAGAAGAAGAAGAAAAAACTACGTCCACCAAAAAAAAAATATATATATCACACACAGGGAGGTCCGGGGATCTGGCAGGCTGACCGCAGAGAGAGAGTGAGGTCTTCAGCAACTCTCCAATCCTCCGCTGAGGCACGTTTTCATTCAGATAAGCTCGAACCCAGAAATGTCAATGGGACGGTGTTCCTTCTTGTTGGAAAATGAAGCCATTATTCGAATCTTCGTGCAGTAAAGTGAATAGCCACTTCTTGTGGGGGTATGTTTTTAAAGAAAAAGTGTATATTCCACCGTTTCCAGAAAATATCAACGGCATGAAAGATCGAATGTGACATTTACAATCAACATGGTGGACTGAGACATTCTGAGGCGCGTTTGGGAGGAATTCTCACATCCGTGCTGCTGGTGGTGGCCTCATTGAGCACTAGTAAAACATGACATAAAAACTTGAAGGTATGTAAACACATGTGTCCAAACTAGAGTTTTCTATTGGTTTTCGTTTTTGAAACATCGCGTGATGACTGACGTATTTTTAAAAAACCACCCTGTAGTTTAGCTTTTGATCCGGCAGACATTTTCAGTTTACTATTTTTACCCAAAGTTCAGCTGGAGCTGTACATGTAATTAATAGCTACCCCCTTTTCACCCGTGCTTGGTTGTTACACAAGACATAAAGATGAATCAGGACTGGCCACAGTTTGTCTCTATAGTCTGTACCAGTCTACCACTAGTCAGGACGGCAATCGGTGCCGTCCCGTTATACCACCAGTCTCGCTGTACCATCTAACTTCATGCTTGTCTCAGGGTAGGCGGTATAGCGGGGTTTGACTGAATGCACACACACACACACACACACACACACACA